AGAGAGGAGAGAGAGAGAGAGAGAAAGTGGAAAGAGAGGGGGGGGGAGAGAGAGAGAGAGAAGAGAGAGAGAGAGAGAAGAGAAGCGAAGAGAAGAGAAGAGAGAGAGAGAGAGAGAGCGAGAGACGAGAGAGAGAGAGAGAGCAGAGAGAGAGAGAGAGAGAGAGAGCGGGAGAGAGCGAGGGAGAGCGAGAGAGAGCGAGAGAGAGCGAGTGAGAGCGAGAGAGAGAGAGAGAGAGAGCGAGAGAGAGCGACAGAGAGCGAGAGAGAGCAAGAGAGAGCGAGAGAGCGAAAGAGAGAGAGAGAGAGAGAGAGAGAGAGATAGAGAGAGAAAGAGAGATAGAGAGAGAGAGAGAGATAGAGAGAGAGAAGAGAAGAGAAGAGAAGAGAGAGAGCGAGAGAGAGAGAGAGGGAGAGTGAGAGAGAGAGGAGAGAGCAGAGAGAGAATAGAGAGAAGAGAGAGAGAGAGAGAGAGAGAGAGAGGCAGAGATAGAGGCAGAGAGAGAGAGGCACAGAGAGAGAGGCAGAGAGAGAGAGAGGCAGAGAGACAGAGGCAGAGAGAGAGGCAGAGAGAGAGAGAGGCAGGGAAAGAGAGGCAGAGACAGAGAGAGGGCAGAGAGAGAGAGAGAGACAGAGAGAGCAGAGAGAGCAGAGAGAGAGGCAGCTCAGTCACACTTAAATCCAGGTTCGTCCTCACCGAGTCCCACCACCAAGGGAGCGCCAGCAAGGAGATGCACATATGGGGATCCCCACGCAGTGAATAATTTTCAAAGAAAATCACGGGGCTCAAACCTGGCCCTTGGCCCCCAGCTTACAACAACAACGGCTCCCGCCTGATACTTCCTCGCAATGTATTCCCAAATCGCGCTCTCGCGCGGGACTCCCTCAATCATGTACGCATCGCGCTCTCGCGTGGGAGTTCCTCGCAATTTGTTCAGACGATGCGCCCTCGGCGCTCAGGAATCACGCTCTCGCTTTGTCTTTTCTCACGATTTACTTGGGAATCGCGCTATCGCTCGAGACTTCCTCGCGATTCATGCAGGACCCACGCTTCAGCAACCCGCCTGCTCGACCTCGTCGCTTGGGCCCGCCTTCCCGACCTGCCCGCTGGGTCTGCCCACCCGATCTCCCCGCCTGGTTCTACCACTTGTTTTCTGTTCCTTGCCTTCCTTCTGCTAATTTCTCTCGTGCTCAATCCTCCTCCCTTCCCTTTTCACCCGTCCTCCCTTCCCTTGTTGTAAGGGTTGCACTAAATGCACGTGGCACGCAAGGAAGCCATACCCCCGAGGGGGCACGATCGAAGACGACGAGGGCAGGTACCGAGAGTTTGGGATATACGTATTGGTTGGCACGCGAGCGATGAGTGTTGGTGTTGTTGTTGTTGATGTTGTTGTTGTTGTTGTTGTTGCTGTTGTTGTTGTTGTTGGTGGTGTTGTTGTTGTTGTTGGTGTTGTTGTTGTTGAACGCTCATTCTTAAAGAATAATTATTGTTGATCCCCCCCCACCGGTGCACATTGATTTTTTCGATTGAAGTGCCACCCCCGGGGCTCGCACCTTGTTTTTTCTTAAGGAAAGTCTTCCTGCTCAAACTGTGCCCCTGCCCACCGGGCTACAACAACAACGGCTCCCGCCTGAGACTTCCTCGATTTTTACTCAGGACCCCGCTCCCGCCTGAGACTTCCGCGCAATTTACTCAGGAAAGGCGCTCCCGTCTGAGACTTCCTCGCAATGTAATCAAGACCCCCGCTCCCGCCTGAGACTTCCGTGCAATTTACGTGGGAACGGCGCTCCCGCCTGAGACTTCTTCGAATTTTACTCAGGACCCCCGCTCCTGCCTGACATTTCCGCGCAATTGACTCAGGAACGGCGCTCCCGCCTGAGACTTCCTCGCAATTTAGTGAGGACCCCCGCTCCCGCCTGAGACTTCCGTGCAATTTGCTCAGGAACGGCGCTCCCGCTTGAGACTTCCTCGCAACTTAGTCAGGGCCCCCGCTTCCGCCTGAGATTTCCTCACAATGTACTCAGGACTGCGCTCTCGCGTGCGACGTCCTCACAAATTATTCTGGAATTGCGTTTCGGCGCTCAGGAACCACGCACGCACCAAGGACGCCTTCACAACGTGGTATCTTCCCTCTTCCTTCGTCCTTCCCCCTCCCCTTCCTCCCACTCTCCCTCGTTCTTCCCCTCCTCCTCTTGCAGGGCCCGCGCCAATTCCAATGGCGGGCAGAGAGATGTACGCCCCCGAAAGATTGTCCGCCCGTTCCGGTTTGCCCGTACGTCTAAGACCGCCGGCCCCAGCAAAGAGAAATAATCCCCCCGAAAGGGGTGTGATCGAAGACGAAGATGGCGGGCATCGAGGGTGTAGGGTATACGTGTTGAATGACTCGCGGGCAAGTAAGAGCGTACAGCCTTAAAATGGTTGTTGTTGTTGTTGATGTTGTTGTTGTTGTTGGTGGTGTTGTTGTTGTTGTTGTTGATGTTGTTGTTGTTGTTGTTGTTGGTGTTGTTGGTGTTGTTGTTGTTGGTGGTGGTGTTGTTGTTGTTGTTGTTGTTGGTGTTGTTGGTGTTGTTGTTGTTGTTGTTGTTGTTGTTGTTGTTGTTGTTGTTGTTGTTGTTGTTGTTGTTTGCTGTTGTTGTTGTTGGTGGTGGTGGTGGTGGTGGTGCTGTTGTTGCTTTTTATTGTCGTCGTTCCCCCCGCGACCCGGCCCGCGACCCGCTTGCGACCCAATGGCGACCCACCCGCGACCCACCCGCGACCCACCCGCGACCTATCCCGCGACCCACCCGCGAACCACCCGCGACCCACCCCGCGATCCACCCACATTGCTTTAACGAAAAATCAGCGCCTGCGGAAGGCTCGTTGTATAAGTTGTAAAAATTAGGCGTCTGCGGCGGGCTTCCTCAGAGTCTCCCAGACTACCGACGTCCCCGCCGTCCCCTCCCTTTTATCCGCGACTGCGGGGTGCTACGTAAAGAAAGCACGATCGTCCTCATATCCCCCTTCCTGCGCAACGTCTTAGTCCTTTTTCCCCAGTTCCTTCGGATCCTGCTCGTTGTCCTTCTCCTGCACTAATTCCTAACCGCATCCTGTACCTGGTATCCCTCACCTGTCCTCCATACACTTACACACACATATCAATAAGTATTATGTCTTTTGATATCTGTAAACATAAATACCTTATCCATTGTTTGCATAGTGTATATGTATACACATATATGCATACGCAACTGTGTCTGACGGTGTTCATGCAAATTTCAAGAATACACAGAACAAGAACGCGGGACGCAACTCAATGGCAAAACAACCAACACCATATAATAAGAAAATTGAGCCAGAACACACAATAAGCAAACAAGGAAAACCGGTATGAAACGAACACCAAAACAAGTAACAAAACATATGTAAAAACGAAGGAAAGTCGCGAGAGGAGAGGGACGAGGGGGAAAAGGGGAACGAGGGGGAGAGAAACGCGACAACGACGAGCCAAGAGCGAGGCTCCGCGGCGTCGAGTCCCGCGAGCGAGAGCGACCAAAAACCGAAAAGATCGCATACGGCGACCACCACCACCACCACCCAAGTTCGATGCAGGCGACAAAGGAGAAGACAAGGGGGCCCTGGGGCACACAACTAAGTAGACACAAATCCCAGGATGCCCCCTCTCTTTCCAGATGTCCTGGGTGTTCGTCTTCTCCCCCGCTTCCCATATCTTCCTATATATTCTCCTGGGGGTCGACGATTCGTGGCGTCTGTGTGGTTGTTCCCCTCCCGAGAGGGAGGAGGTGGGCCGCGGGTCTCGAGGCGCGAAGCCTGGAGCGACAACCACACAGAGAGGGGGCAGAGAGGAGGGAAGAGGGCGGCGACGAGGGTCCTCCTCCTCCTCCTCCTCCTCCTCCTCCGCCTCCTCCTCCTCCTCCTCCTCCTCCGCCTCCCCTTCTCCGCCTCCTCCTCCTCCTCCTCCTCCTCCTCCTCCTCCTCCCCCTCCTCCTCCTCCTCCTCCCCCGCTTCCTCCTCCTCGAGACGCGACGTGACCAGGGGCGGGCGGGCCAACGGGCACGCGGGGCGCGGAAGCGAGACGGGGCAAGGAGAAAACCTACGACGGCACTAGGGGCAGGGAAGACACGGCAAGGCCCAAAACGCAACAGCGAGCACTGCGGGATGGGCTCGCGAGCCACGGATACAGCAGCACACAAGTGCTGCTGCACTGCGCTCAAGCTGCGCACGCCAGGGAGAAGAGGGAAGACGAAGCAAGATAGAGAGAGAGAGAGAGAGAGACGCCCATGCCAACCTGCGAGCCTGGACAGGCTGTCGGAGGGGGCAGCTGCACCTGGATCCTCCTCGATCCTCGATCCTCCTCGATTCTCGATCCTCGAGACGAGGTGGGAGCTCGCAGCTGCACCTCGACCTTCGATCCTCCTCCCTCCCTCCTGCCTCAGCGCCTGGAGCCTCGCCAGCGCTGCCAAACCCCACCCTCCCTCCAGGCCGTCCCCTCTCCGTCCCCCCGGGGCCGTGGGCGACCCGAGGAGGAGGAGGAGGAGGAGGAGGGGGAGGAGGGGGAGGAGGGGGAGGAGAAGGAGGAGGAGGAGGAGGAGGGGGAGGAGGAGGAGGAGGAGGGGGAGGAGGGGCAGGAGAAGGAGGAGGAAGGAGGAGGAGGAGGAGGAGGAGGAGGAGGAGGAGGGAGGAGGGGACGAGGAGGACGAGAGGTGAAGGTAGGAGGGAGGAGGTAGGAGGGAGGAGGGCGGAGGAGGGAGGAGGAGGAGGAGGAGGAAGGAGGAGGAGGAGAAGGAGGAGGAGGAGGGGTCGCCCAAGCCCTGCGGAGAAACCACCCACAAGAACCCGCCGCTCCAACCTCTTCGGAGCGTCGGATCTCTGAGTCCCCCGCCTCCCCCAGTCCATCCCTCCTCCTCTCCTCCTCTCTCCTCTCCTCCTCCTCCTCCCTCCTCCTCCTCCTCCTCCTCCTCCTCCTCCTCCTCCTCCCCCCGCCGCCGGGCCAAGGGCAGCGCATGTTCCCCCTCGGGTGCTGGTTGTGCTGCAGCAGCTCCTCGTCCTTCTGCATCCACGCGCCCAGCTGGGAAGGGCCGCGCCGTGTTTCCCCCCCCCCCGCCGGCGGCGGTCGAGCCGAGCGGCTCGCGCCACGAGCACGACGACGCAGGACGAGGCGCGCCTTCGCGCCAGCGACACGACGCCGTCGCCGTCGCCGTCGCCGTCGCCGTCGCCGTCGCCGTCGCCGTCGCCGCCGCCGCCGCCGCCGCCGCCGCCGCCGCCGCCGCCGCCGCCGCCGCGTCGTCGTCGTCGTCGTCGCGTCGTCGTCGTCGTCGTCGTCGTCGTCGTCGTCGTCGTCGTCGTCGTCGTCGTCGTCGTCGTCGTCGTCGTCGTCGTCGTCGTCGTCGTCGTCCACCCCCCTCTGGACGCACGTCCTCCGCGCAGGGCTCGTGCCTCGCCGGCCCGCCGCATCCGCTGGCGGGGCACGGGCAGAAGGTGCCAGACGAAGCCAGGACCAGGACCAGAACCAGGCTGGACGTCATGATTTTTTCATCACGTCGACCACCGAGGTCTCGATCCATTCCCCAGGACTGGTTTTTCATCCTGAGTCGTTTTGTTGACGGACCCGAGGGCCGGGAAGGGCCTCCAGAGGCCGAAAATAAGGAAAACCTTGCGCCATGATTTTGTTCATTGCCTGAGGGGCTCTGGGGGACAAAGTCGAGGGTCCCTGAGGCCCCGCGGCTCCGGACCTCTCGTGCGCCGCGGCCGCGCCAGAGCGCTCCAGGGCGCTGCGGGAGCCACTCGGAACGCCATGGAAAGATGCACATCCCGGTCCTGGGCCCGCCCGATCTCCGCTGGTCGGGCACGGGAGAGCATGGCCCAGATCCCCCCCCTGGCATTGGCGAAGCGTCACGATCGCGCGAGGCCAGGGCGCAGTGTCAGAGGGCAGCGGTGTCGCTCGCCAGCGACGAGCTGGAGGCCTACCCCCTTCCTGGGGCTGTACTGCCTCTGACGAGCGCTCTTGGGCCGTGTTCCCCACTTTCCCGCGGAGGGGCAGGGGAGGGGCACTGGGAGCTGGAGGAGAGGAAGGAAGAGGAGGAGGGCGGAGGAGGGGGTACAGGGAGGAGAGGCAGGTGGTCCGAGGGGGGGCTCAAGAGGGCACCGGCGAAGCTCAGAGAAGGGCCTGAGTGGGCCCGAAGGCAGGCCCACGAGGGCGCGCTCGCCCCCCCCAAAAGAAAGCCGAGCAGGGCGCCACGATGACTCCCAGGGGCGCCCTACGGTCAAGAGCCTTTGCTCAGCGTGTCGCGGCGGCGGCCCTGGCGACACGCAGTGCCCTGCGGGCGGATAGCGTGTCGCTCCGCTCCGCAGGGCAGGAGGCTGGGAACAGCTCGGGGCGCTGACGCTCTGGGAATGGGGACGTGGACGGCGTGTCGCGCCGAAGCGTGCTAAGCCAGAACGGGCGAGGCCATACGCTAAGCCAAAATTCCTGACCGCAGATCAGGAGGAGCAAAAGGAGCGGGAGGAGGAGCAGGACGAGGAGGAGGGGCAGGAGGAGGAGGCGGAGGAGGAGGAGGAGGAAGAGGAGGGAAAGGAGGAGGAGGAGGAAGAAGAGGAGGAGGAGGAGGCGGAGGAGGAGGAGGGGGAGGAGGAGGAGGAGGAGGAGGAGGAGGAGGAGGAGGAGGAGGAGGAGGAGGAGGAGGAGGAGGAGGAGTTGCCCTCAGAAGCGCGACGGGAGCACGTGAAGGTTTTGTAGGCCATGGTGGCCCGGCCGAGCGCTCTCCCACCGCCCAGGAGGCGCGCTTATTGGGACGTGAGCGCGCTCGTCCCCTATGTCGTGGACAACGCAAACACACACAGACACGTACAGACACATATACACACACACACACACATACACACACTGATCTGTCGTTTCCTGGCCGGGTAGTCCAAAACAGCGAAAAATCAACGAGGCCGCATTCGTCCCCTATGTCGTGGACAACGCAGACACACACACACACACACTTCTTATCGTCAGCGGCGAGGCGGCGAAATCCGCACCAGCGTAACAGCTAGGTGAGTGCACTAATTAGCGAATTGGTTGGCGTGCAAGGAGGGAGGCGGGAGGCCGACGAGGAAGGAGGAACGCTCATACGCCGAAGAAATCGACGATGAGCAGCTGGCGGGCGGCAGCAGCCAGGCGCGCCGAGCCAGAGCGCAGTGGGCGACCGTGGCGAACAACGGGGGCAAGGTTGGCGTAGAGTGGCAGCCAGCCAGGGGCTGGGAGAGCACAGGAGACGCCGCGTGCGTCGTACTGCGGCGTCCCGAGGAGAACGCACAGCACTGAGCCGTACGCACACACACACACACACACGCACTGATGTGTTGTTTCCCGGCCGGGTGGTCCAACACAGCGAAAGATTAGCGAGGCCGCGAATGAGAAGTACCACCAGAAGCGTTGTGGATGGGGTGGCGCAGAACGCTCGATGCAGAAAAAGAAGGGCATGCACGATGATGCAAGCGCCACCCAAGAGTAGCGCCACACACACACACACACACACACACGCACATGGTCACACACGTCTTTCCTCAAGCGGCAGGGAGACGGCACCGCTGCGATGCGCTAAGCCAGGATTTGACTGGTCTGCGACGAGTTGGGTCCAACAAGCGGTCGGGTCAACGGAGGACGCGTTCGTAGCGAATTAGGGCAAAAGCAAGGAGGATGGGCAAGAAGGGAAGAGGAAGTGGCCGCGGAACGGCCGGAGAACTCTCAGACCATGTAGATCCTCAAGCGGCGCCAGAAGTCGGGCTCGTGAACTCGCTTAGCAGGGGCACGCTGAGGCGAACCTCTGCGTGGTGTAGCAGATGGGCGGGCAGGGCACGGGCAGTCCAGATGCAGGGAAAAGAATGCAGGAGCGGAAGCGCGCGGACGAGGCCGAAACGCCCGCAGTGCAACGCATGGGAGGGGCGATGCAAGCCGTGGCCGGTGGGTGCCGGAGCCCCAGCGGGAGGGGCGCGCCGCGGAGAACGGCAGAGGCTGCGGGAACACAGACACACGCACACACGCGCGCACACGCGCACGCACGCACGCACGCACGCACGCACTCACGCACGCACACACACACAGAAAAAAAACGAACGAACAAACAAACAAAAAAACAAACATACAAACAAACAAACAAACATAAACCAAACATATGTGCCTCCAGCGGCCGAGTGACGTCACTGCAGCGAGGGCCAAGGCGGGGTGCGCGTTTGGCGTCAGTGCCACCTGGCGCTGCAGGCGGTGGCTGCGTCAGGCGAGTAGTCGTGCAGAGAAGGGCACGGGCTGCGTGAGGCGGGCGAGCGTAAGACAGGGAGGCCGACGGACTGCGCGTGCAGCCTGCAGGTGGGAAAGCCTGAACGTCGAGTCCAGGAAAGGTGCGGCTAGGAGCACACACGTACACACACACACACATGCACAGACGCTTCTGTAAATAGGGCATCATGTCGCAGATGTCAACGCTACGAGATAAACAAATAGGACGGGAAATGGAGGGCAAGTCATCCCCAGCTGCACGGCACAGCGCTGCAATCCGATCCACAAGCGCGAACTGGACTACAAAAAACTGAATGGAAAGGGCGCGTAGAACTATCAGGACAATGCGCACACACACACAGAAAAAAAAAACACACACACACAAAAAAACAAAAAAACACGCGCGCACGCACGCACGCACGCACGCACGCGCACGCGCACGCGCACGCGCGCGCGCACACACACACACACACACACACACACACACACACACACTACACACACAGACCCACGCACACGTCTCTCCGACGCGGCGGTGGAGGCAGGCACTGCCTCAAACCACGACGCGTGACGCTCAAGACAGCTTGACCACCCTGCTCGGAAACGCGTGCAAAACCAAGTGCCCGAATGAGGAACAGGCCTCAAGCAGGACCACCGGGCGGTAGAGTCAAGCGCACGCAAGGAAAATCTTGGGCGGGGGGGGGGGGGAATGGAAGATCGCCAGGGCAGGCACCCAGAGAGCCCAGGACGGCCCAGGAAGGCCACAGGACAGGGCTAGGGGATGCCCTGGTTTCCACGCATGCTGATATTTTTGAGGGAGCGGGGGGGGGGGACTGGAAGGTCGCCGAGGCAGGCCAAGCCCGGTGGCCAGGAGGAGTGGAGGCCGGCGGGGAGCCCCGGGCGGCACGCCAGCAGAGGCACGTGATGCGTCCTAGTCCTGCCCCGCTCCCGAGCCGCGGCCCGACGGCCCCGAGGCCAGGGAGGGGCCCTGGGAGCCCGAAGGCCGCGGGAAACCCGCAGGGCCCTTCTCCTTCAGGACCCCCTCTGCCTCGTGGCGGCTCGCCTGTTCCCCATCCTGCCGCCTCCCTCCTGTGCCCTCCCTCCTCCATCCTCCCTCCTCCCTCCCCCTGCTCTATCCCCTCCCTCCTCTCTCCTATCTCCTCCCTCCCTCCCTCCTCCCTCCTCCTCCCCTCCCTCCCCTGACTCCGCCCTCCTCCTCCCTCCAAATCCCCCCCCCAAGCCAAAGCAGGGTCCACTCTCATGCACTTCACGAACCAATCGTCCTCGGCGCCGTAGGTGATCCTCTCACATTCGTCGATCCTGCCGCGCCGCGAGGCAGCTCGGGAGGGGCGTGAGGAGGACGTGGAGGAGGAAGGGGAGAAGGAGGAGGAATCGGAGGAGGAGGAAGAGGAGGAGGATAAATAGGAGGAGGAGGAGGAGGAGGAGGAGGAGGAGAAGGGAGGAGGAGGGGGGAGGAGGGGAGGAAGAGGGGAGAGGAGGAGGAGGGGAGGAGGAGGAGGAGGAGGAGAGGAGGAGGAGGAGGAGAAGGAGGAGGGGGAGAAAGAGGAGTGGGGAGGAGGAGGGGAAGAAGGGGAGGAGAAGGGGAAGAAGGGGGTGGGAGGGAGAAGGAGGAGGAGGAGGAGGAGGAGGAGGAGGAGGGGGAGAAGGAGGAGGAGGAGAGGAGGAGGAGGAGAAGAAGGAGGAGGGGAATGAGGAGAGGAGGAGGAGGAGGGGAAGAAGGAGGAGGGGGGAGGAGGATGGAGGAGGGGGAGGAGGAGGAGAAGGAGAAGGAGGAG